GCGGAGCAGCTGGTAGTTTCGAACCGCTGACCTTAAGGTTTGCAGCCCGATTCGTAACCACTACGCTACCAGAGCTCCTTACAATACAATATAGGAATTCTGGTGTGGCGCTGTGGGTTAACGTGCCAGACTGCAAAGCCATCTGAACTGTAATGTCGGCAGTTCAAGCTCACCAGCTTCTCCTTTGAAATCTTATACAGGGTCACTATGGGTCAGAATCTACTCAACAACACTTAACAACAACAATATAATACAATATAATATAATATAATACAATACCCCCTCCAAAACCTTCTGGAGCTCTGGTAGTACAGTGGGTTACAAGCAGGGTTGGTAATCGTAAGGTCAGCAGTTTGAATCTATCGGCTGCTCCCTGGGAGAAAGATGAGGCTTTCTGCTCTTGAAACGATTTACAAACTCAGAAATGCTACACAGATTCACTAAGAGTTGGAATCGACTCCACAACACATAACCACCACCACCATCTAAAATTTTAGCCTCCTAAGGTACCACAATCCAATAAGCTATCCATAAAAAGTCATCCTCGACTCATGTCCTCATGTAACATGTCATCAAGTTTCTAACATCCTATTTTCTAAATAGCTATGAGCTTTCTATCCTTCTGTCTGTTTTCATTTACAACATGTCAGTCAGAGTCTTCAATATTTCCCAACCAGATTTCTGTAGTAAGCTTTCTTTTTTGAGTTTTAGGGTTCCTTGAGACTTCCTCCATCATGCTACCAGAGATCTGGCTTAGATTTCCCCAATGCTCTTTACCACTTAAAGGATAATGTTAACAAAGGCATGAGGCCATCTCTTGATCTGGTCCTTGCCTGACTTTAGTCTCCAACTTCTACTACTTCCATCACCAACAATTTGTACTACTGTTGGATAAGCACTAGATTGCTAGCTAGCTACAAGGTCAAAAGGTCAAACCCAGCAGACTCTCTTTGGGAGCAAGATGAGGCTTCCTGTTCCCATAAAGATTTACAGCCTCAGAAACTCTATATAGTTTTGAGTCTGAATCAACTTGATGACAGTGGGATTTGGACTAACGGAAAGGCGGGTAGTCTGAATCTACCCTGAAGCTATGGAAGAAAGACCTGGAGACCTGCTGTCATTAAGACTGGTGGTTGGTAGTGGTGATTATATGCTGTTGAGTCAGTGCCGACTCATAGCGACCCTGCACAGGGTTTCTGAGGCTATAAATCTTTGCGGGAGCAGACAGCCTCATCTTTCTCCCACAGAAGGGCTGGTAGTTTCGAACTGCTGACTGTGAGGTTAGTAGCAGCCTACAAAACCCTCTATGGAGCAGTTCTGCCTTGTAGCATATGGTGTCACCATGAACCAGATCAAATTGAAGGCAGCAGGTTTGGTGTTCTGAGGTCTACCGCTTTCACAGGTGATAGAAATTCAGGCTAACGTGAAGTGATCAGGTTGCTAGCTTATGCTTTGTATGCTGGAGAGGTAGGTTTACTGAATCTCATATGTATATTTTTAATCAAAAGATATCATAGAAACCTTATAAAATCATGACTTTACACAACACATCTGTTTAAGTTTAAATGAAAAGCAACTGTTATCAGGTCAAAGATAAAATACAATACAATACAATACAATAAAGCAGAACAGGAGGTCACAGTCATAAAAAATAGATTTACATATCTAAAAGTCTTACCTAACGTCTGTCGGAAAGATATCTTCCATCCTCTTGCACTTTGGAATGAATCTGTCTTGAACACCAGGAGCAAACTGTTATTGTTGCTCTTAACATTTGGCGGAAGCTTGGAGCCACAGAATTTTCCAAGAAGGGGATCACTGTTGTTAGAACCATCATAAATTGCCAGGTAGTCTTGGGAGCAAAAGGTGGAAGGAACCACATCGAAATCACTGAACCTGTGAAGTGTACTTTGTTAATACTGATGTTCTCCATTTAGAGTTCTATTACATTGTATGTACCTCTTGCTCTTGAAAAAACCAAAAGGCAAAGCAATGACTAAAAGTAGAAAATCCAAGCTTCATTTAAGAGGAAATATTAAAAACAATACATCATTTTATTGATTAATTCAAAAGTTTAGCAAAAAAATTTTGAGTATCTATGAAACTATGATAGGAGCTAGGGATATAAGATACAATCCTAGACATCAAGGAGTTTGAAGTCTTGGACACATTAATTCTATTTGAAATCAAGTTTTGACAAACGGAACTGATTTTTCTTGTTTGAGCAATACATTAGTTTTCATCTCATTTGGTTTTGTATGTGTACATCAAATAGTTTTGCTTTGTTGATTTGTGAAAAATAAGATGTAAAAAGGAAACCACAGGGAGGAAGCAGGATAACTGTTGTTGCAGGGAGGGGACTGTAATCATTTAGATGAAACAAAACATATGACTGGTTCAAGGAAGGCTAAAAAAAAAAAAAAGTGTTTACTCTGGTCTCTTGTTATTAAAAAAAGAAAATAATTAAGGTGTTTACTCTGGTCACTTGTTATTTGAAAGATAAAGATATTGTCTAATCCTGTGCTTATAGGAAGAGAGCTAATAAAATAGAATGATTTTAGTTCTAACTAAAGGACCTAGATCAATATTCTGTCCCTCAGTCTCTGTCTTCCTATTTTTAATGAGTATTACAGTAAGCTTTAATGAAGTAATATGTAAAAAACAAACTATGGTATCTGGCATATACCAAACCAAACCAAATCCACTGCCATTGAGTCAGTTCTGTAAATCTCTACCAGAGCAGAAAGCCTTCTTTTTCTTCTGTGGTTGGTGGATTCAAACTGCTGACCTTGTGGTTAGCAACTCAATGTGTAACCCACTAAGCTACCAGAGCTCCTTATCTGGTTTATATTAAATGATTTTGAAAATTAAAGTTATTGTTATTGTTATGATTTTGAATAACAAGAGCATGAAATAAGTTGTTTCTCATAAAAGAAAAAATATATACACTAGAGGCAAAAAAGAGCCCTAATGTGGCACTGTAGTATAAGCACTGGAATGTTAACCACAAGATCAGTGGCTCAAACCCACCAGTTGCTCTCAGAAACCTAGACAGGGCTGTTATGAGTCAGCACTGACTCAATGGCACACCACAAGAACAGCGGTAGAAAAGAATCTACTCAATTCTCATGAGTCATATTTCATTGCTATAGCCAGAAAGTCACACTTACACTCATTGTGGAGGTCACTGAAAGCGCTCTACAAAGTCATAGCTCTCTGCCTGTCTGTCCCTTAGTAGGATTATAATTCTCAACAGTCTCTCAGCTTGATGTGACCATAACACTTGCATTGTGAGCAGAAGAAACAATATGTATTTCTATTTGGAATAGTTTTAAAAATGGTTATTAGATTTGCCACATTCCCTTCCTCTGTAGTGATATTCCTAGAAGCTCCAGTAGAAGTTAAACTTCTGGTGACCATGACCAGCAGAGAGCCAAGTCTCCCTGGGCACATAGCATCAGTGAGAAATAAATATACTGAGCTAAACTACTGTGTTCAGGGGATGCGTGTTACCATTTAGAACATGTCCTGAGAGATGCATACCTGGATGTTCCTATATGGTCTAACACACTATTTTAGCTGAGCCCTTATGCTTTGTCATTTCAAGTTCTGGTGTGGCATTGTAGGATAAGCACTGGACCACAATGTCGATTTGAACTGCAAAGTTGTCCATTCAAACTCACCAGCTGCTCCTCCTAAATCCTATACAAGGACACTGTGAGTCAGAATCAACACAGTGGCACTCAACAACCTTCAAGTTTGTCAAGTAATGAAAAAACATTTGTCATTTCATGTAAGTTTCCCAAACCAGCCAAGACTTTCTACATATTTTTTTCTTCTGGATCTTATAGTGGAACTTATTATAGAGCATTTTCTTTGAAAAACTTGTATAAATTCCTTGGTATCCTCTCATTTTTGTATGTTTTCTGCTTTTCCTGGTTCATTGTTGTTATTGTTACACACTAGAATAGTCATACATGATATGAAATAATTTCAAAAATGTCATCGTTGCTCTAAGCACTGTGGAGTCAGTTGTGACTCATAGTGACCCTGTATAGGGTTTCTGAGGCTTTAAATCTTGATGGGAGCAGAAAGTCTCATTTTTCTACTGCAGAGCGGCTGGCAGGCTTAAATAAAACACCTTGTGGTTTGCGGTCCAGGGCTTATCATATGGAGTTACTGCGCTCCCCAATTTTGAAAATATCTAATGATTAAAATACATGCCTCCTTTTAAGAACCTTAAGAAAAAAAGTTCTTAAATTTTGTTGATTGAATTTTTTCAAACTGATGATGAAAACCCAAAACAAATTTTTCTTTTTTTTTTTTTCCCCAGTTTTTCTTTCTTTCTTTTTTTTAACCTAATATAATATTGAATGATCTTGCAAAAGAAGACTAGCAGGGTAGAACAATAGCTATACAATTCAAAATTCACTATTTTCTTTTTATTCTCTGTTGTTGTTGCTGTTTTAAGCGCCCTAGAGTTGGTGTCCACTCATAGGGTTTCTGAGGCTGCAAATCTTTGTAAGAGCAGAAAGCCTCATCTTTCACCTGTGGAGCAGTTGGTGAGCTCGAACAGCTGACCTTGTGGTTCACAGTCCAGCGCTTATCTTACAGAATCACCATGCTCCAAATTCGCTATTGTTGTTAAGTGCTGTCAAGTCTGTTCCAACTCATAGCGATCCTGTATAAGGTTTCCCAGGAGTGCCTGGTGAGTTCAAACCGCTGATCTTGAGGTTCAAACTGACCTTTTTCAGTCTAGTGCTTATCCTATAGTACCACATCTATAGCGACTCCAATTCCCTAAAGATACCACATTTATTTTCTACAATAAGAATCCAAGAAGGAAGATAAAGTTCTGAGTTTCCAAGAGGACTGAAACCTGTTTGGATTTTTTATTTTGCATTGGCTCAGGAGAGCACAGACGATATCTGTAAAGGTCTATGGACAAACAATCCTATGTGGTCTAAATATTTTGAGAGACCTGATAGAAGAATTTGTTTTACTAAATTAAGTGTCTTCTGTAGCATCTAAAATAGTACATTTCACAGATATAGGCTCTTAGAAAGTACACAATAAATAAGTTTTCAAACATGTAATTGTGGACATTGACACAATGTTGTTGTTGTTAAAGGCTGTTGAGTTGATTTTAACTCATAATAACCCTGTACAGGGTTTCCTAGTAGCAGCTGGTGGGTTTGAACCTCCAACCTCATGGTTCGAAGTTCAGCGATTATCCTACAGCCTGAGTTCATGCAAAAATGGAATCACAAGGCTCCATTCCCTAGCCCTTGCTGCCCATTTCAATTTAAAATCATTAAATCATTATATTAAACTACACTGCACCTGTGAGAAAATGATAACAAAATTTTTACTAGTGGAATACCTGTTCTCCCTTATACATTTATTGCTTGCGTGAAGGGTAGGAAACCAGTGTCCTAGTTTTCTACTGCTACAAAGGAACCTTGCTCCACCTTCCTTTCAATTTACAAGGAATTTCAAAAAGGGATGGAGAAAAGGGATGAAGAGATAATGTTGTTCCCCACAATCTCTTTGAAGTCCCCTGGTGAGAATTAATGTTCTCCATTGGTAAAAGAATGTTTTTCCTGTAAACAGAGTTGAAATAATTTTGTTAAAAAGGTCATTTTTTCCTACGTACTTGAGTTGAATCACTCTGTCGTCTCTAACGGTGATGACATACAAACAGTATATATTGTTAGGGTAGTCTGCATACGAATAGGCGGGGCTCCGGATGGTTCCAGTGGAGAAGTTAAACACACCACCACAGGCTGCAACAGAAAACAGGGAAAACACAGATAACAGTTATCATATATGGAAAAGATATTTCTAGTATATTCTGTACTATTTCAGTCTTTTCCATAAAAGAGATACTAATTATTTTGTCTTGAAGCAATTCAGACATCCTGTCATTGTATTTACAAATAACTGACCTTTACCTAGGGAACAAAGAGAGGGCAATGATGTAGGAAGTAGGAAAGAATATTTGAAGGCTCATTTCAGAAAGAAATTAATGGCCAAAGTGAGAATAATGAGAAAGAGTATTTTGTGTGTTGGCGTGTAATGGTTGCAGTCTCTAACTCGTATTTCACTGAAAGTCCGAGAGGGATGATGTCAAAAATTGGAAGTTTAGAGAAGGCAGGAAGAATCTAAGACATTTTTCAGCCATATGGACCCAAGAAGTATTGACATCTAGAAATCGTAAATAATATAGATTTAGATCTCCTCTACTAAGGATTGAATTTTATGCAATAAAGTACTTTCAAGTTTGATTCCCTCTGTGGTTTCAAATACTTAACCCTCAGATCTTAAGTATTTCTCTTTAATTCTGAGATGGGGAACACATTTGTGCAATGTGTTCTCATTATTTTCATTATTAGTCTTCAACAAGCATGAAAGACAGACCCACTCCTTACCCTGACTCTAGAAATCAATAGCTCTTAGTTATTCCTATTAGTCAATAAAACAACAGCCATAAAAATGGAGCTGAAGCCATATTAAAATAAATTTAAATTCCTCATTATTTCTTGGTTTACACTGAAAGAAAATAAAATTGGGTCATTTAATGTAGAAAGCAATCCACTCTTATTACAGAAAGAAAAGTCTATATTTATTTTACATTGTTGTTAAGTTCCATCAAGTCAATTCCGACTCATAGCAACCCTATACAGAGTTTCCAGGAACAACTGATGTGTTTGAACTGATGATGTTTTGGTTCACAGTCCAATGCTTACCCAACAGCGCCATACCTATAGCATTACAACACTGAAATCATAGTGGCTTGGTACATTTTGATATGATTTCAATGGTTTATACATTATCCATGCATGTATTCCTTTACATCTTTTAGAAATAAGAAACAAATTGTGCCTGTCTTTTAACGTTCTTTATAACAGGGTCACTATGAGTAGGAACTGACTTGTTGGCACTTAACAACAACAACAATAATTAATATGATCTCAGCTGAGCCTACTTTTCAGGGAAAGCTATTCTCTATGTGACCATAAGTATCATGTGCTCAGACCCTGAGATACATCTGTAGTTGATTAAATATCAGATTTATGTACACATTACTCTATTTCATTCATGATTTTCAGAAAATCACCAATGTTTTAATAACGCCCAAATTTGCACATTGTAAAGATTTGAAATCTTAATAATAAAAAATGAACTCTTTAAATGAGAATTTTGTAATAGATGTGTTGCAGCTTGCGTACATTGTTTTAGGAAAACAAGGGACAAAAGAGTAGAATGTGAAGCAGAGTTTTACGCCTCAATGTAACAAGCATCCCAAAAGAGTAAAACACATCAGTCCTTCTGTTTAGACAGAAAAATAACTGTGGAAGAAAAGTTAATTGCTCACTTCTGTTTGTTTCAATAAACAAGAGTAACAACTATACATACTCATGATTTGCAAATATTGAAGGTCAGGATTCACAAAGAAGCTACTGTAAATGAATTACAAAAACTTAAAAGCTTTCTTCATGAGTAAATATGGTAAGTCTTCTCTACTGATGGAAATAGCAATTAATTTGAAAGAAAGTGATCTAATGCTCTACCTTTAGAAATAGGTTTAGTCAAGTAAAGATGACACAAAATAAAAATTTTGCGGGAAGGATTTTGTGACCATTTCACAGAAACTGGGATGATGAGGCAAAAAATATTGTCAGCCAACTAATCAAATAAATTTATTGTAGGAAAGAAAAAGGCCTATTCAAGTAGGGAAATTTAATCTTATTATAACACACTACCATAGATCAAATTGTCTATAAAAATAAAATGATCTTGGTAGCAGCAAAGATCTTTTACCCCTTCAATAGCTTGTCTCTTCACTTAGAATTTGATACATTGCATTTTAAAATTATTATATAATTGTATGCATTTCATTTTCTCTAGGGATTATTTTTATTATCATTTTGAGTATTGTTTTTTTTTAAACCCTTTCCTAACAGAAGACCATGAAGACATTTTCTCATATTTCTACTAGATTTATAAGATGTTGCTTGTCACATTAGTATAGTAATTTGGAGACATGAAACAGGCAAATAGATATTTCATGCCATAAAGATACAACTGTACAATGTACTAACAACTAAATATAGCAGAAATTGCACAAATAAATACTTTTATTCTCCATTTCATTTTCAAATAGTAGTTCCAACCAAAATTACCAACTCCAAGCTTTGGTAACATAGTGGTTACGAATCGGGCTGCTAACTTCAAGGTCAGCAGTTCGAAACTACCAGCTGTTCTGTGGGAGAAAGATGAGACTTTCTGCTCCCGTAAAGATTTGCAGCCTCGGAAACCCTGCGCAGGGTCACTATGAGTCGGAACCGACATCATTGTACTTAACAACAACAACCTTATCCACACACACACACACACACACACACTTTAAGGAAAACTGTCTCAGGATTCGGGGCCAAATAAACTTTTTTTTTAGAGACTTCTGAGACTTCCACATTAGTGATCATACAAATGAATCACATATGAATCTTCTTACATGAACTACACACATACTAAGATAAATAAATGAGGAACAAAAAGAAAACTCCAAAGTGCATCACTATGGTTACTCACGGGTTATCCGATAGGAAAACTTGAATCCAAAGTCTGTGATGTGTGCGTTAGAGTAGAAGTTAAGCAGCACTGGACCAGAGATGGTGATTGGAGCCAGGGTATCATCACCGCACAGGGTAGCAAACGGTGCAGAAGATAAGTTGTAACCTCTAATAATGTGCACGCCATCATTGATACAACTGCCTTCAATGGCGGAGCGAGCTGCACAGAGCAAAGAACCGCCAGCAGGATAATCAGAGTCAATGTAAAAAATAAATGCTGTACATAGTAAACCAAAAAGGCAAAGACAATTTTTATTTAGTAATTAAAATGAGAATCAAAGTGTATTTTGGGAAGTCAATATTTAACTTTGTTTTCTGATGAAATGATATTCCCCCTAGTTAGCTTCTGTAAGGAAACAAGTTGAACTTCATAACACATAAATCCCATTTTGAAATACCCTGATATTTTTTCTGTATAAAATGTCTCGGTGATTATAAACTCAGAGTAATTTTGTCTCCCAGGATATATTTTGTAATATCTGACAATATTTTGTTGTGTTACAACCTGGGTATGCTTGTTGTTGTTGTTGTTGTTGCTGTTCAGTGCCGTTAAGTCAGTTCTGACTCATAGTGACCCTGTATAGGGTTGCCAAGGAGAAGCTGTTAAGTTTGAACCACAGACCTTGTGGTTCAAACCGACCTTGTGGTTGGTCCAGGGCTTAACCCACTGGCATGTGAATCGTAGAAGTTAGAGAATCTTCAAATCATCCTGCAAAACACAGAAAACTCTCCTCCATCACAACAAAAAACCCAGCTGCTCCTCAAAAACCCTATGCAGGGTCACTATAGGTCAGAACTGACTCAAAGACACTTAAAAACAACAACAATAAATGTTCATACAAATGCTATTAGCTTAAGGGTTTAGCCATTTAAAAATAAAAAGCATTGTTTTGTTTTATAATATAAAATATATTATAACATTTTGACACCCCCCCCAAGAAATATACAAAACAGAATAAATAAGAAATTGAAAGGACTATAACCTCTCCAGTTTTCTTTACAGGTTAATACAGGTTATATACTATTAGCAGATTATTGGGATCATAGTAAGCAAAATCTTTGGTAATTGATTTGTTATTAACATAACACATCATGAATTTTTTATATGATTAAAACCTGTTCTAAAGCATTGCATTTGAGTTAAAAAAACAAACAAACAAACATTGTATTTAATGAAAATATCATATTCTAACATATGGAAGACATCAACAAAAATGTCAGGCAAGGGCTTCCAAAAATTTGCTCCTCCATAAAAGCAACAAAAAACTGGCAAAAATTGTCAGAAGAAACTTTCAGAATGCTGAAAATTAATCAAAGGTTTGCAGCAAACAGGAGAGTTTATTCAAAAGAATAATTGATCTCCATAAGAACAGTTAGCTTTGTGGTGTTTTAATTTGCACTTAGCAGTAACCTTGAATAACAACTCCTCAGAAACCCTGTACAGGGTGGCTATGAGTAAGAACCGACTCAACCACACTTCAAAACAATACTCCCAGAACTGGAGGGAGCAAAATAGAGCTGTAGCCCTTTATACTTCCTCCCAACCAAACGGTTATTATTTTACTTGTCCAGTGGCTCCCTAGAAGACCACATTCAAAAGGATTGTCTTTGTTTGACCTGACTCAAAACTTACCCAGTGCCAAAAGCTTCTCCTCAGTGGGGTTTTGTCAGAAACACTTATGGGCAAGTATTTTAACATCAAGGCTACTTGAAGCATGGGTAACAGTTGGGACAAACAATAGATCAACTAAGAAGCTTGAAAGGAAAAGCTGATGAATGAGATGTATATAGAAGCTTTAAAAAAATCTCTGAAAGGGGCTCTGGAAGATTACATGCATGTGTGGGGCTCTGTGCACGCTCCCATATGAACTGAGAAGGCCCTACGCATCTACCTCTGAATGACCTGACATCTCTGCATAAGAAGGAACTGAAAGCTAAGACAAAGTTGTAAGTGCTTGACTGAATGTTGAAGCTGTGCTCCAATAAGCACACAAAGCCCCTTGACAAAGGCTGGGAGATATACTGATTCCAGGAGTCTAAGGAAATCTCTGTTTAATCATATCCTAACCACTGGCAGAACTGAGCAGAGACTTCAGTGGCCACACACAAAATACATAATTTTAAAAATTAGTTCAGAAAAGTTACTAAACAAACAGGATGGGTACGGAAAAGCACCCAAAAGATGAGGAAAAAAGAGAATTATAAAAAAAAATTCCTATTTCTGGCTTCGTTTTCTCTGGAAGCCCATATACCCCTTTTTATTTTTAAACCTGCCTTCAATTAATGGAGATAATCCAGTATCATCCCTGTAAACATCATACCTGAACTAACTTGAGCATATTCTACTATTTAAAACTGAAAGAATTTTGACTTATACATTTCCTACATATACGTATATTAAAGTGTCCCCCTTTTGGAGTATGTGAACATAATATTAGAGAAAATTGGTACTGTTATAGGAAAATATCTAAGTAGTTTAAATGTTAAGTTCTTCAGGAATGTACTTGCTACCTTAGCTAATTTTATATCCAGCTTGAAGACATATTGAGGTGTTAATTAAAAATATACTTATTAAGTTAACCTCAAAGAGTTTCCTGTTTTTTAAAATCCTAAAATAGAAATGTTTCTAGGAGGGAATAAACCTACAAGTTAACAATGTGAAAGGATTAACTTCATTGTTAATTCTTCTTACCATGTAATTAGAAGCAATACCAAATTGGAAAAACATAAATGAATTAAATTCAGATTCATGGTTTTGATTATGGCCAAAGTATGTGCCTTATTTATAACCTCAATTTGGTTCCAAGACACTAAGAGCTCTATTGGGATTTAAAAAATTCAGAGTAGATGGATTTGAATATCAAAAAATACATTCATACGCATTAGTTATAGAAATAGCTTTGGCCAGCAACAGTATGGAAAAAGCTGCACAATGAAAATCCGACAATGAAACGAAATATTGTTCATACTAGATGAACATATTACTCTCACATTAGTTTAAATAGTTTGGAATGCACACGTCTTTTAATTACTAGAGAGTTAGCTTGTAAGTTGTTTTCTTAATGTTATAGACTATCACAAGGGTGGCTGTCTTAAAAAATTTTTTTTTAAGTAATAAAACACAAGGTAAGGTTTTCATAGTCCTTATTATGGAGTAATTCATTAAACAGAATAGCTGAGTTACAGAAAGTTCATCCAAGAAATAATAGTGGCATATTGAGACATCATCAAAACTTACTAACCCTAAAGAAAAGGTCTGTGTTCATTAATAAGCTGTATTGGGGAGAAGTGAGTGAAATTGAGGGGAGATTAATTTTTTTCTAGATGGCAGTAGAATATCTAATAATGTAACAAAGGATTCGAGACAATGTGCCCATGGCCAAAGCCGGATGTACTAAATGCAAAAATTAATACTTTGGATCATTTTCCTTATGGATTAAAACGTTCCTGTTTTTCACTAGGAGTCATCAACATTAGTAGGATACCCTTCTAACTTTTCCCCACAAGATAGCAAACATCTATATAATGCCAAACTTTAATAAAATGATCTATTTTCCATCACTTCATATGCAAAAGTTGGGCAGTGAACAAGAAAGAACAAAGAAGAATTGATGTATTCCAGTTATGGTGTTGGAGAAAAATATTGAATATACAATGAATGGACTACCAGAAAAATGAACACATTTGTCATGGAAGAAGTACAGGCAGAATGGCTCTTAGAGGCGAGATTTCCTTTCATGCACTTTAGGCATGTTACCAGGAGGGACTGGAGAAGGACATCATGCTTGGTATGCTAACGTGTCAGCATAAAAGAGGAAGACCCTCAATGAGAGGGAGTGGCACAGTGGCAGCAACAATGGACTTAAACACAGCAACGATTGTGAGCATCCTACAGGGCAAGGTAGTGCTTTGTCTCATTGAACTAAGTGTGGCTTATGAATCCAAACTGACTCAATAGCACCTAATAACAACGACAACAACAACTACAACCTAAAATATACGAACGTATATAATTAGTTCATTATGAGAAAGGGATGCAAGAAAATGGTATATAAATATGCCATTGGGCATCTAGTGATTTTGCACAGTACGTGTTGCTCTCAAGCTCTACACATCACCTTAACCTAAGAAATCAGTCTAGTCCTTCAGTAAGAAGACATTTGGTTATAAACAGCATGTTGTTGTTGTTGTTGTTAAGTGCCACTGAGTTGGTTCCACCTCATAGTGACTCTATATAGGATTTCTAAGGAGCCGTTGATAGGTTTGAATTGCTGAGCTTGTGGTTAGCAGTCTAGTGCTTATTCTATCTACAGTGCCATACCAAAACTCCAATAAAGATTATGTTGTTGTTAAGTCCCACTGAGTCAATTCCGACTCATAAGGGGCCTGTATAGAATTTTCAAGGGGCAGCTGGTGAGCTTGAACCACCAACCTTGCGGTTATCAGTCCAATGCTCATCCTACAGTGTCACACCTGGACTCCCAATAAAGACTATGGTGATGGTTGTGGTTGTGTGCCATGGAGTTGGTTCCAACTAATAGCAACGTTGTATAGGATTTCTAAGTCCTGGTGTGGTGGTAGGGGTTAATGTGCTGACCTGCAAAGTTGGTTTGATCTACTAGGTTGGTGATTCAAGCTCACCAGTAGCTCCTGGGAAACTCTATACAGGGTCGCTATGGGTCAGAACTGACTTGACAGCACTTAACAACAACAACAAAAAAAGCTTTATTGGAACAGAAAGCCTCATCTTTCTTCTGTGGAGAGACAGATAGATCAAACTACTGACCTGTGGTTAGCAGCTTAGCTCATAATCCATTACACTACCATAGTAAAGACCATATTGTTGTTCAGCGCTGTCGAGTTGATTCCAGCTCATAGCAACCCTATACAGAGTTTCCGAGGAGCAGTAGATATTAAATGTTGTTGTTGTTGTCAGGTGCCATCGAGTCGGAACCGACTCATAGCAACCCCATGCACAGCAGAACGAAACAATGTCTGATCCTGGGCCAACTTCACTACCGCTGCCACACTTGACGCCATCAATGATGCCACCTGGCTGATCCATCTCGATGGGGGTCTTCCTCTTTTTCTCTGACCCTCCACCTTCACCAGCATGACATCCTTCTCCAGCGACTGTTCTTTCCAGACAATGTGTCCAAAGTAGGAAAGACGAAGCTTAGCCATCATGGCCTCCAAGGAGCACTCTGGTTGTACTTCTTCCAAAACAGATCTATTGGTTCTTTTGGCAGTCCATGGCACTTTCAGTATTCTCCTCCAACACCACAACTCAAAGGCATCAATTCTACGATCTTCCTTATTCACTGTCCAGCTTTCCCATCCATATGAGGTTATTGAAAATACCATGGCTTGGGTCAGGCGCACCTTAGTCCTCAAGCTGACATCTCTGCTCTTCAATACTTTAAAAAGTTCCTGTGCAGCAGATTTGCCCAATGCAATATGTATTATGATCTCTTGACTATAATTAAGGGAACATATTAAATATGTTCCCTTAATTATAAAGAGCCAATACATATAAACTCAAAATACACAAAAACTTCCAAATAGAATATAGTTAAAAGCAATGTGGTGCTGTAGGGTAAGTATTGAATTGCTAGCCACAAAGTCATGGTTCAAACCCATTAGCAGTTTCTAGGAAACCCTACACAGGCTGCTATGAGTCAGAACCAACTTGATGGCACTTAGCAACAGCAAGTCTCCTAGGGAGAAAAGAGAGCTTAGGCATGTTTCAGAAAATGTTTCTCTAGGAGCATTGTTGTGTTGTTGCTAAGCACCATCAAGTTGGTTCTGACTCATAGCGACCCAATGTATAGCAGAATGAAGTACTGCCTGGTATACAGAAACTAGTATTGGAAATGTAGTGATTATGAGATTAGAGAAATGTATGTAACAGTATACTTTTAGAGCAACTTATTTTAGTAGAAAGTTTCTTTCTTAACCTTCCAGTAAGGAAAGCATTGTTGTTGTTATGTGCCGTGGAGTCTGTTCTGACTCATAGTGACCCTGTACAGGGTTTCCGAGGCTGTAAATCTTTACGGGAGCAGAAAACCTCATCTTTCTCCTGCGGAGCAGCTGGTAGTTTC